GAAGCATGCTATGCTCCAACTAATGTTATAATTTGTAGATCATGCCTGTAAAAATGGCGTGTACCTGCTCATGCAGAAATATATTATTATTATTATTATCTATCAAAATGCGTATGTCATGTGACACAGTGATATACTGTTGATGATATTCAAATTAGTTAAACTAGCTGGGGACGGTATAAACATAAAGTGACAGCAAGTAGGTGGTTTTATCCAGAGAATGCACTAATAAAAATGCCTAAACATTTAAAGTTCCTATAATAACACTTGTGGAGTGAGATACACTTGCGGGTGCTAGAGCATTCAATGCATTTTCGGAGGAGCAATATGCATCGATGCAACGTACAAATAATGGGAGTGATTTTATCGTACGGATATGTTCTGGTAGGTTAGGTCGAACCTTGAAATTCTCGACGTCGCACTTGAAGACTCAGTTGCATGACATAGCTATGTGACCTATTCTCAAACATAAATAACATAGACCACATCTTCTTACCTCCTGTTTCCTCTCTCTTACATTCATTTTTGTTAACTTTGGATAATCTGTCGCCTCATGATCACCTAAGCAGATTTCACAACGTGAAACTTGACTGAGTTGTTTGGGTCTTGTCTAATTGCATGAAAGCGTGATCTCCTATCAACTTGGCCTTGACAATTACCTTTACGGAACTTTGAGTTACAATGTACCAATCTACCAAAACGTGATCGAGCAATCCTGGATCTTCCTTCTACAAACATCACTAATTCTTCAAAAATCGGCTCCCTACCGGCCAACATGTTCCTATCGGCAACTTCAACCCATTTATTCTGTAATTCTAAGGGTAAAAATGACAAAACTATTTCCAAATTAGCCGTAGAATTCATATCAGACATATACCCCATTTCTTTCAATGTTATGCATACATTACGTAGCTCAATTGCGAAGTTAGTTAGGCCATCGTCTGATCCCTCAACAGATTTGTAGTTGAGTAATTCAGTAATCAGATTACGAGCGACAAGGTGTTCCTTACCAAATAGATCATACAAAATTTGTCTAGCTCTATCGTAACCTAAATGACTCGGCAGGGAAATGCAAGCTTCAATAGCCGTCCTGGCCTTTCGTTTACAACAGTATGACAAATATGAAAACAACTGGCATTTATCGAGCAGTTTACTCTCGATAATGCTAGTAAACTGACTAATAAAACGGTGGTACAGACTTGGTTGTCAATCAAAAAACATCATATCAATCTTAGGTAAAACCGTATTATCAACCGTAGTATGTGATGTATCAACCCAATCTCATTTTGAGACGTTAACTACCTCCCTTGAATGCTTATTACACCCAGTATCACAATCCAAATACATTTTCACATTAGCATTTATCTCACCCTTGTCTACGGGCAGCCGGTTATCGTCTTCTATGACCTTACATTCTAATTCAGCCTTATCAACCTCCTCTTAGAGATCTAACATCTTAAGCTGCCCTTCTAACTCAAGCTTCTTTTCCAAATTCTTCTTCTTTAGTAATGCCTTATCTAACCTTAATCTAGAAGCACTAAGCTGAGCAGAGGACTTACTATCAATACAAATATCACCGCGTTTATCGTCATTAACACCAGACATAGCACAAACAGCTTTAGAAATTATACTATCCATTTTATCATTTTCTTTTTGTTTTTTGCTTCGCGTTTCCATCGTGTGCCTTTGTTCCAATGAAAGGGTTACCAAAACAAATCTGAATTAGTCCAAACGATATCGACCAATAGGACCAGAAATTGACCTAAAGTGTCCAGATAAATCCAAGATATGAACACAGAACCAAAAATTGAAGAACTTTATGTTACGTCCAAGTTTTCACTCCTTTCCGTTATTAAAGTACGGTATATCGATCTATTTGCAATTTACGAACCCAAATTAACAACAGAACCAAACTCCAATTTAAGTACCAAAATTTATTCGCAATATACAAATAGTCGACCCAAATGTCGTTCTTCAACAATAATTATAACAATTACAAAACGAACCTTCAATTTTGTAGGTTCCCGGAGTAAAACTCCCAAATACCAAACCGAAGACAAATAGAAACCAAAATGTCCGAAAATAATGATATAAACAAACAAGTTCAGAAGTTGAGTAAAACAAATACATCCAAAAAACAGTGAAATTAATAATATTTAATATAAAGCTCTTTTTATTCAGCCAAATGTCTTCAGCTCTCATGTAACAATTTGTGTGGTGCGTATATGTTTGGTGCCTCCATGTACCAATATCTATGTGTTCAAATAATAATAAAATCAGTCCTTGTACAGAAATAGGCATCGTTATCAAGTTTTGACTCAATGATTTCAAACAAACTGAGCAGCGGTAGATCGTTACAAAAAACAATGCATTCGTAATGTCCCAGTGGGTAGAAAAATTAAACTTATAAATTTTTTACTTTTCGTGACACGGTGTAAGCCATTCTTCAGACAATAGATAAACAAACACAATTTACCGATGGTCAGACGGTACAAAAGAACAAAGGAAGAATATATGATGCGACTAATCAAAAATTGGTCTTATCAAGTCAATGTCATGTCATTAAAGTCAAGGTGATTTATGTACGGCATGTATGTATTTTTGTTCATGTATGTATGTTGAAGAGTGAAAAATGTGAATTTCGTGATGTGGAAGGATAGAATTAAATTTGTATTTACTATAATGTTGCGAGGTGTGAATGGAATCAGATGTAGTAGCTTGGATAGATGGTCCATGTCTGGTAGATTTTGAGACTTTTTTATTTATTGCAATAGGATTAAGCAATATTTAGGAAGCTTCAGCTACTCACTTCACTTTGTAGATGGAAAAACCTATTTGTATTACACTTATGTTTTTAATATCAACTTAAAAATTATTGAAAACGGTATGGACTGCTCCTAATGAGTTAATTTAGAGCCATTCCAGCTCTACGAGGTTATTGGACAGTTCCCCTGCTTACCGAAGATAATTTTGGCTCGAGTCAAGATTCCATGAGATGACTCCTGAATAAAAAAGTAGAGAGACTGACTTGGAAAGGTGCATAAAATACCTACGGACCAAATGTCCAAAATTAAACCAATTAATACTCGGGAAGAGTCGCAAGCGGTGTATGTACACAACGATCGTAACACTCGCACATATATCTGGATAAGGTGTAATGAAGTAAAAGCGCCTCTTATTCCTTATTTTTTGGTACGAAAACAAGAAAACACCGACTAGGAAAGTTTTGATAGGCTAAAACCGCCTTATATAGACAATGAAATACCATACATATTATTAGACCGTCTGTCTGGCGGAACAATCACAATTGAAAGTACCGACGAGAAAAGTCCACTGGTGGGGACACGAAATTGAGCGTCACATCCACCATTGTCTTCAGTAAGTTACTATCCCACAACAGACCTGGTTGAACTCCACTGGTCACTACCTCTCACTAGAACTCCAGGATATACCTCTTGAAGCCAGTCACTAGTGAGCATATTTCGTGGATTAGTTGAGGTTAGACATTAACATCGTTGGATTCCGGCTCAGTGGTCTGGTGGTTAAGTGCTCGCGCGCGAAACCAGTAGGTTCTGGGTTCGAATCTCGCAGGGGGCGAGGTCGTGGATGCGCACTGCTGAGGAGTCCCACAGGAGAACGAAACGGCCGTCCAGTTCTTCCGGGTTTTCCATGGTGCTCTAGCTTCAACTGACTCATCATCTTAATCATTGAAATTACTACAATCTCCACAAAACCCCTTCTGACAATAATCAAATAATTAAAAGAATGAGAGAACGTTTCATTTTCACGCACCGCTTTATGAATTTTTTAACATACCATAACAATGGTAATCTTAATTTCCACCCTAACCGCCTCTTTTCAGATACTTTAATTTCTCTGTAAGAGCGTTACATTCGTTTTTTATACTAGGCACATAAGGGATTTATCCCTAAACAATCCGCTGAGAAACGTGAATCGTAAACACTACGTCATCAGGGGCAAGTCAAAAAGGAAGGAAGAATCTTTGACTGAGGTGAGCAGTATCATTTAAACTACCCACCTGCTCGTTTTTGGTATACGATACATTCGATGGTTTCATATGACAAATTACAAAGAAAAAGTAGTTTTCAGAAGAAATATTTTAGATCAAAAATAGTTCAACACATGTCAGTAGTTTTCATGGTCTTTTTGGCATGCTTATGGAGGTTGTGCACGAAAATAACAAATATTTCTTCAACATGACTTGCATCCAGACATTTTCGGATCAATGAAAGCGAACATATTCTAAACCGTCAAAAAAATATTCGGCATCTACGACAACACTACTTATTTTTTACCCATTGCGAATGCCGAATCATACTACAAGTAGTTGTTTACGATGGTTTCTCGATCTTGCTATAAAGCCTTTTAACGGTTCGACAATAACGTAGTATGGTTGATATAAGCGATTAAACTAAGAACTAAATCAGTCGATAATCTGACAGATAACTATTAGTATTATTCTCATCTTACATTGATGGTTCCAAAAATGTAGTGTTCCTATCAGTTGGTTCTTTAGTGTGTACACTGAAACTTTACCAGTTTGATTAGGGGTTTGACAGAAACCAGTTATGTAAATCATTAGTGTAAGCGGTCGGGTTACAAACTGGGTTACAGTAATCGCTCTAAACAAGTCGCCACAATTTATGGGATATAAACCAAAGAATCCACCCATCCAACCATAGATTGATTGTTAGATTGTTAGATGGAGAATGCTTGTGGGCGGCCTATGCTCCTCCACGAGAAGTAACAGGCGTAAGTAAGTCAGTAAGCCGAGGAATCCACGTAGGTTTATTGTACGGCAACTTATGCTAACGTGAGGAACAATTTTACGATTTTCGAATACATTACTTTTATCATTAGAATTTTACATTATATGCAACCCATTTGGATTTATTAAGTAAAACTTTGAAAATAATGTGTTGTTTGGTAGTTTGTTTAGATAATCTTGCTTTTAGTGGCAGGATTTTAAATTCACTAGCATGGTAGGTTGTGAGTTGGTAATGAGCACTTTGTAGACTAAGATACGGGCGTCAAAGCTACGTAGTAAACCAGAGTCTGAACTACAGAAGCAACTTGGGGAGCTTAAGACGGAACTTGGCAATCTTCGTTTGTATCGGGTAACGAGAGGCGCATCCTATCATGGAAAATTGAAGAAAATGTAAGTTTTTATGCTACCAACTGTTATGAAAATCTCACTTTAAGCCGGACACTAAGAAAGTCCATTGCTCGTGTATATACAGTTATTCACCAGGCTCAAAAACTCCGCCAACGTGAAGCTTATCGTTCCAAGAAATATGTTCCCAAAGATTTGAGACCTAAGAAGACCAGAGCAATACGCAGAAGGCTTACGAAGAAAGAGCAATCAATTCATTCTGCGCGTTCGATGCGCAAAGCACGTTCCTTCCCTCCTCGTGTATTTGCTGTTAAGTGCTAAGTAATAAAAGTCAAATTTCGTTCGTGGATGTACTCTTTGCTTTTACCTAAGTTGCTTATCTCCTGGATGCTAGATTTGTTAATGTAAACGTTAGTTCAGTTGGCTGCATGTGATTTTGTACCTTTAAAATCTAGTTAAGTAAGGTCTCCGAACTGCTACTTATCAAATATATCAGCGAAGTCTGACCAATCGTCAATGATGCGATTTGCGTCGATTGTTACACATTAGTGAGTAGTCGCAGTGCTAGTATTATGACATGATTACCAGTGTTTGTCCCCAATGCTTACAAAAATGACGATCCTAATTTGTGTTGTACCTTGATTTATATCCTATGGTCACTGAATACGTGTTCAGTATTGCTTGTTTGCATTTTCGATATCCGGTTACGATTATTGAAATCTCATAATGTTCATACCATACTACAAATCAGTTGACTTGTTGCATGTAATTCTGATCTTGTTTTAGTTCAGACTGTGTATTAAATACTCTTTACATATGATGTCTAGTACTTTAACATTGCTTGTGGTTTGATGATGTGCTTAAATGCCAGTTGTCAGTTTCAACAGGTTTCATATCAGATTACCTATAGCAATAGTAATCTGATTGGTATCAAATGTACTGGTAAGATTGGGTGCTTCGGTTTGAGCACCCGGGCAGTATCACAGCCCTCACACATATCAAATGAGATCTGTGTTGCGCATATGTATTTGGTGCCTCATTGTACCAATATCTATGTGTTAAAATAAATTGTGTAAGGGGATGGATGTATTTGAACAGTTCTGGTACTGCATCTTACGTCTACTCGCTGCCTTGAGAAGTGGATCTCAAGACTTGATGCATCCTCTTGCGGTTCTGGTTTTATATCTTTATTTATTTCAACACAAATATTGGTACAAGGGGGCACCAAATATATATGGCAAACAGTAATGTATCTAATTATACAACTATTCTTCAATATTAGAGCTTATAGTTTGACAAGCATTTGGTGCCGAGTATTTTATTGTTACTCTGGGTAATGAAAACTACAAACATTATTTTATATGTTGATTAATTGTTAAAAATATTCTCCATTGCACTGCATCTCTGTGTACAGTTTGTTTTCATGTGACATGCACATTTTCGATTGCCATCAATGCACATTTAATTGTTAAAATTTGTTTCGTCCCTAAGATCTTATATCTCTTAGAGGTTGATTTATGTTAGCTCTCAATAGCTATATATAACGTGACTATCCTTGTAGCTGAAGTGTCATGTAGATATGCTTTATTCTACAGAGCATCACAACTATATCGTGCGTAGTGTAGGTTGCTTAAAATTTTTTGAATGTGTAAATTTGTGTTAGTTATAAACCATACATCTGTGTGAGGTAGTAATAATATTCAGTTGACTAAACTGAAGTTTGTGCATCGGGGAATGTTCATGAAGCCTACTAAATTACGACTAAAGTGGTGAATGTGTTTCGGACCTGGAAACATTCATTGGTTCTGGTAACACTTGAAAACTGTACCAACTTATTCACACTACTAGACGCTGGCTTAGCAGTTGTTAAACGATTTGCGGGACTTGTAAAACCCTAGTCGGCGTTTCGAAATGAAACCCCGAATTTCAGACTGCACCTTGGTTATTAGAGTTGTGAGACGTCAGAGGTCACCCAGTGTAAACGACATGTACTAAACCTCCATTGATCTATGCAAATTTCTTTACAGGTTTATAGCAGTTATTTGTGAATATTTGGCAACCACAAGGCATAAGACAGATTATCTTTTCATCGTTTATTATTCACATAAATAGTTCGAAAAGTATATGTTTGAACGTGTTCTTATGATTCGTCTTATCTATTATTAGGATCAATTTATCGACTTAGAGTCTGTAGGTGAGACCATTCTATTTAACGATGAGTCAGACGAGATACTGGATCGTTTGGACCCCTAGAATGGTCGTTCAAGTAGGTTTGAAATGGCTTTCTTTTAGTGATCCGGAATGTTGCCTCAGAACCAATCTACGTCAGTAACTAAACTTACATGATTTAAACTGCCTGGATACTTCCCCTTTTTCTAATTTCACCAGCCCTAGTTGTTTGTTTCTAATAATGATATTTCACCATGGATTCGAAATGTACCTTGATTTTTACCAACTTTATCACGTAGGGCACAGAATTGTTTGTTTGTCGACGTATAGGGGGGAGTGCGATCTAACATTTTTCCTGTATTACTCTATGGCTGTACAATGTCCATGCGTGATCTCGATGTATAATGCTGACAGGTAGGAACAAGTCTCATAAATGATGGGGATCGCTAAAATAAAATTGTTGCGTTGTACTGAACCATGTAGGCTGGTAAACATAGACCGCTTTGTTATAAACTTCTTGATGACGACGGTTAATGGTTAGATATATTGAGTGAGATGTATCAATGAGCCGCAGTGGTGTAAATGAGTTCCTCTAGATTCTAAGTTCCAGTTTCCCTACCTATATACTGTTGTTTCCGGCTAGTTATCACGTCACTTATTCGCCAAGTGAAATATGACTTATTCACTCTAACACTGCCAAACCAATGACGTCCGACCGGTTTTATTAGCCTAACGTCCTTATTGACCCTTTGCTCGCCTAACCCGTCCATAACAACTTCCGTTATGCGAATCATTTATTCCAGACATACTTGATTTATGTACCAGCCAATAAATAGGAAATAACATACACAATAAAGTCAAAAAGTGACTGTGAGCGTGGGGGCAGTAATTAATGAACACTATAATTTAAGAACAGTAAAACGTATAATAATAAATTATAGATTAGAATGAAGCCTTTAATAAGATGAATGTAGATATATACAGTAGTGACTGAATAGTTATACGATAAGAATATTTGTCCATCAATAGGTCTCAGATGTTACCCGTGGTTTAATCTTCACTAGGATATAACATATATATATATATATATATATATATATATATATATATATATATATATATTTGTCCCAGGCTTTGCATTGATTGCTTTTGACTAGATGATCATTTGCATGCTTATGTAAAACTTGGTCAGTATATACTGAAGACATCTGGTATTGTCTCAGTATCATTGCCACTATTGTGTAATGAATGTAAAGTCCGGTCGAAACACATGGTATTCAGCGAAGAAATTTGCACTTATGAGTACGATGTACATCCGCGTCCCACTGACGAAATACCTGTATTTGCATCGAGTATTGTCTATTGATTCTGGTATTAGCCTTGAAGAGGCTTCTGCAGTCACCTCATGGTTCTCATTCCTACATTAAAAGTGTTGTCTTAAAAGTTCCAGAAGTGTAGTATTAGCATCCGACTGTGTTGCCCGAACTCATCGAGTGTCTACATCAACCACGTAAAAATGGTAATTACTGGTTTTGATATATGTACACACCAATTATAAGTCACACAGGTCTTTCCTTCAATCGTTCTTGACTAGTTTCAACTCAGTGCTTGCCCATAGAATTAATACGATGGGGAAACAGTTCACTAAATTATAATTCTCACTATTCACAGTGTGTTAGTGACGCTATTGTATATTAGACAATAACGTGAAACGAGTGATTCAAATTAATAGCAATATGTAGTGTAGTTGCGATAGACCTAATGTAGTCGTTCGATTACTACAGTGGTTAATTTTTAGTCACAGTAACACGACCATTCTCTTCGGTCCCGTTACATCCGGGAAAATGCCTTGCAAGTTGTTTTACTTCATGATGTATTTTCAGACATTCCCAGTCTAATTGTTTTTACCATACAACACACTAAGTTGGTCGAGAATCAGTAATGTTTTGGATGAATTTATTGCTTTAGTACCAAAGATGTAGCAAAAATCCACACTTAGAGTAAGATGTACGAAGGATACAAAGTGTTTGTCTAACCTTTACCAATCCGTCTCAATAATGTTGGGTTGTTTCATATCATGTTAATGTTGAGTAAACGACTGAGCATAGAACACTCAGTGCCTTTACAACATGACTAAGTGCCTTTTCTGATCACTTGATTGGTCCTTATTAATTAATGTTAAAAGTAGATATCACTCAATCAGCTAATATATATCCTTTGATTGATCATGAATAAATTTATGCAAAGTAAGTATTTAAGTCTACGGAAATAAAGTAGTACTCCAGAAATATGGGGCTTAGTAAACATTGAGGTAAACATGCACAAATTTCAGATAGGGGCCCAGTATGGTTAACTGGCTCTAATCAGGATGGTCCTAGGTATACTACGTAAACATTGAACGTAGTAACTTCAAAGCAATTTATTACTGGACGGAATATCTTTTTAATGTTCGGAAGAAGCTACACCATTTCTGAAGTGACAATAATAGTATTACGTGTGTTGGGTCATCCTTTTTGGATCTCTATTCGTGTACAATCTGAGGATGCATTGATGCTGAACATGATTTGGTGTTTATATTTTGTCTTTTTGAACATCGAAAACGCTGAATGCAACATAAGTAAATGTTTAAGAATTTCTATTGCAAGCTCTACATCTGTGTCGATATATGGGACTTGGAATGTAATCAATGAAGTCACGACAACGTTGTTACCACCTAATATTTCTACTTTGAGGTTTTACCAAAAATGTTATAAGATTCTGGAGAAGACGCGAAATCTCCAAAAACTATTTGGGGATTTTCTCCAGACCTGGTGAAATTTTGGGGGTTTTGTGCTATTTCCATGAAATAGGGGGATTTGGTAGTTTTGTTTGTAGTTCACAAAGTTTAATTGTTTTTATTGCGAGTTATGTAACATTTCCGACTACATGTTGGAACTCGTACATAGAAAAACGTAATGCGAGCGATAAAATACAACCAAGATATTTGGAAATTATTGAAATCATGTGTAGTGTCACGCAAGTTATTCCCTTACTTACTTACGCCTGTTACTCCTCATGAAGGAGCATAGGCCGCTCACCAGCATTCTCCATCCCACCTTGTACTGGGCAATCCTTTCAAGCTCTTTCCAGTTCTTATTCATCTTTTTCATATCTGCTTCTATTTCCCGACGTAATGTGTTCTTTGGCCTTTCCGCTTCCCTTCAGGATTCCAAGTTAGCGCTTGTCTCGTAATGCAGTTTGATGATTTCCTCAATGTATGTCCTATCCATTTCCATCGTCTTTTCCTAATTTCCTCTTCAGCTGGAAGCTGGTTGGTTCTCTCCCACAAAAGGCTGTTGCTGATGGTATCCGGCCAATGGATGTTGAGTATCATGCGTAGACAGCTATTGATAAATACTTGTACCTTCTTGATGATGGTTGTTGTAATTCTCCACGTCTCAGCTCCGTACAGTAGAACTGCCCTGACGTTGGTATTGAAGATTCTGACTTTGATGTTGGTTGAAAGTTGTTTTGAGTTCCATATGTTCTTCAGTTGAAGGAATGCCGCTCTAGCTTTGCCAATCCTCGCCTTGACGTCTGCATCTGAACCTCCTTG